AGTTAACGTTTTTCTTTGTTTAATGCATTCTGGTGCAACATCATTGCCCACTTTGAAATCTCTCCTGCTCAAACCTTTGAATTTCGTTGCTCTTATTTTCTGGCCTGGGCTCTTTATTTTGGCTTTGCTTTTGTGTTTATGTGCACTCCTATTTACATATGCAGATGAAAGAGCACAAAGCTACCTATGCTTTGTAGCTTTTTCATTTTATAGTATTTGCCCGTTTGATTTTTTACGTTCAAGTTTTAAATGTTTTCAATTATGCATGGACAATTTATTGGGCTGTCTACTTCCTCCATTCACATTCCTGGCCCTTTATCACAATTTTGGCATTCTACAACTTGCATCTAGAATTCGTAATTTAACCATTCTGTGTTTGCATATTCTCAATTGTTATTGTTATTTATAATTTATGTTTTTTATTTATGTTGTAAAGTTTGATTCCTACAAACTATCCCTATCAACATTGATAACTTGTTGGCTCTTAACATGACAAAAATTGATAGTTTACGACCTTCAAGTTCTGATGCCTAATAACCCACGACAAATCGAGGGGGTTTTTATTTTACATCTAGACTACTGTGTCGTATATACCAAATTGACAGCATTACGTCTAGGACGCGCTGCCTGAAAGCCAGTGAATCACAGGGATTAGATGACCCAGGTTTTTTTTAACTGTAGACGAATGTCAATAAGGCAAACCTTTATTTGTTGGAAATTTTTCTCATTTAATTTTAAAAAATTGATAGTAACAATATGATTGTAATGGCTCATTACTTTGCTCTAATCTCGTTAGGTGTCCGACCTATTTCCATCTAAAAATTCACTAGACCCGAAGAATGCCGATCTTCTGATTGCTTTCCCGACATTCGACGTTTTCATTACAATTTATTCAAAGCTGCTTTATTATTTTTGGGCTTTTTGAGTTAGTTAATCATTGATCCTAAGTTAAAATCTTATTCACTGTCTCCTAAATTATAACCTAAGCGCTAAGTATTTTAATTAAGGATTTTAACTAGCTAGAACACCCTGGATCAGTACTACAACATTAAATCGTCCCTTTTCATGCTACGCGTCACGCGTATCACAAATTTCTCTTCATTTTTACATTACAGTCCATAGCATCACTTTTATTTGTAATGACTGGTTTTTTTTAAACTATCAGTAGCTCTTTAATAAGAGTATTATTCACCCAAGGTAGCTTGAGTCAATGAAGAACTGATGGTGAATTTTCTCATTGTGGTATGAGTGGGACTTACGATGTCATTATCAATGATTAAGGTATACAATTTCGCCCTTACGAACTTTTATTTTCTCTTCAAGCCACACTTCTCAGACAGCCATCTCTATCAGCGTTTGCTGGCACTTGTTTGGGGTGGTGAGCTATCAGAGGCAACTTCTCCTATGCGTCCTTTCCCTCTTGCCGTACACCATACCACCGATTCTGGCGAATCTGTTCCATTTCGGTGAGTATATACAATCAAATATATACTTCCGTGTACAAGTATACATCCACTTTTAAACACTTCCTACGTAAGTGTGTGCGTATGTATGAATGCATATATATGGCATATGTAATTAGCTGGCTTCGGCTATGGTTATCTCCTGGTTTATTTTACTTTTTTCTACCATAATGACTAATTTGATCTCTTCATTTTTCCTTCTGATGTCTCTACTATTTTTATTTATAATAATCCATTCATTCAAAGGCTTTTGACTACTTTTTTCTTAAGCTTTATCCTCAGATCGATCTATTCTATCTGACTGATGTTGTAACTTAAATAATATCAGGTTTTTGTTATGATCCTATTTTCTAAAAAATAGTTCCCTCTTTGCCCTCTTCATTTTACTTTTTACTCTATTTATTCTGGTAATCGGAAACCCTGGTGCAATGGACTTCAGTCATGACAATCCTTTCATTGGCATCACTCTCTCAGGCCTCTACCGCTCTGCAACAAAAAGTTTTCTGCTCATTTTTTGAGTATAAAATTCGTTGCTCTCTTTTACTAGCATCATTGTTGGCATATACTTCTATAATTTGGGATGTTGCATCAAACTATAGCCAAAAAATCCATAGTTTTTTAACGTTAATTTTTACTTGAATAAACCATCTAAATTTCTTATGTCTTCTATTTATTCTTTAGGCTAGTTTTATCACTTGCTTCTTATTGATTTGCCTTCATTCTGATTTTTACATCACTGCCGCTTTCCCTTAGGCTATGCCCAATATAAAAACCCCGATAGGTCTTTGAATATTTAATTATAGCTCGCCATTGTCACACAATTTGGCTTTTTATTATTTCTCGAGCAGAATACTAAATTTTAATCAGCTGATGTAATAGGTAATGTGATATCTAATTCATGCAGTGCCTTTAGAATCGCATATGTGTCTTTTTTATATGTACAACTATTCGGATACTTTCCATGGGCCAACTATAATTTACTATTCGTGAGTGAGTAGGGTTTCGAGACTACCAGTAAATCAGTGTAATGAGATGTATTCACCCTATTTCG